ATGTTGGGGAAACCAGTAAATGAGTTTTTATGAGGTGATTTATGAAACTCCTGGGGTGGACCAAGTGCGTGCTGGGGAGAAGTGGCATCAACTTCCAAACCTGGGGGGGTGGGGGTGAAGGGACCGAGAGGACTTGAACTTGGGAAACTGTTAATGACATTGTTGTGCGTCGTGTTCTTTCCAGAGGTTAGGCAGAGCGGGACAGTCCCTCTCTCAGGGAGGCAGAGCAGGCTGGAAGACGTCAGGGGAGAGCGCCCTGCCGTCCGGGCACGTGGCAGTCACCTGGGAGAGGACGCCCTTTCAGGACTCCACTTCCAGGGTCCTTACTTCTGCAGACCCTTGGAGTTCTCAGGAGCTGGCCCAGAAACATCGTTTGAGATATGGAAAATCCTGGGTGGCTCTCCCTCTTGATCCAGGAAGACCCCCAAGGGTGTCTGTCTGCCCAGCTCATCACCACCCCACCTTCCCGTTGGAGCTTCCCCCACTGTGGTAGGCAGAATAATGTCCAAATCCGAAGGCCTGGAATGTGTGAATGTGTTGTGTTACTTGGCAAGGGCTAACTGGGGCAGCAGATGGAATTCCGGTTGTCGGTCAGCTGGCCTTCAGATGGGGAGATTACCCTGGATGACCTGCGTGTGCCCCGGGTCATCACGAGGGTCCTTACCTGTGGAAGAGAAAGGAGTTATTGTCAGAGTGACAGGTCGTATGGCCTCAACCGCTACTGCTGGCTTTGAGATGGGGGAAGGGGCCAGAATCCAAGTAATGTGGGCAGCTTCTAGAAGCTGGAGAAAAAAAGGCAAAGAAGTGGATTCTCCCCCAGAGTTTTCAGAAAGCAGCGCGGCCCTACCCACACCTCGGCTGCAGCCCAGCCAGACCCAGCTTGGAACTTTGGCTCCTAGAACTGTAAGATAGCAAACCTGCTTTGTTTTAAGTTTGTGTGGATTTGGCACAGGAAACGGATATAGCCCCTGAGCCCCCAGCCAGCAGAGTGTCCGGACAACCATGGTTGAGCCCTATGTCTCTGGATGCTGAGCCACAGATGACTGGACCAATTTTCCCCTGCACGTTCTGAACTGGGGCTTGGCATTGACACAGCTGTGACTAAAAACATGCCATACCAAGTCAGGGGCTGATGGTGGCCCGTGTCCGGACACATGAACTGAGAATCGGAGAGAGCCAATTCGCAGAGACAATTGTATTGAGGGGGAGAGAGACGGAGAGAGGTCTGGTAGCACTGTAGTTTCTAGCTCTCCTCCAAGGTGAAGTACAAGTGTGCACAACAGACCCCTCACCCTGTCACTTCCTCCCACTGACACTGCAAAACAGCCCATGTTTTCAGCTCAGACATGTCGAGAGATCAGCTCCAACCAATGGAAAAACGCAGGTTGGTGGTTGTCCCCCAGCCACCAGATGACTGATGCTGCCTCCGTGGGGAGCTGGGAAAGGCGTTTAGGTGGAAATTTCTCCTCACAGACTCAGGAGTGGTTCATCGGTGTTCCTGCTTTTCATACTTTTCTCGGACAAGGCCCAGAGAGGTAAAGTGACTCGCTTAAAGTCACACAGTGAGTGAGTGAGTAGGGAAGCTGGAATTCAAACTCAAGTCTTTCAGTTTCCAAATCTCAAGTATGTTTTGTTTGTTTGTTTGCTTTTTCCCTATTTCTCACTTTTTTTTTAAACGAGAGAGAGCTCGAAAGTCTTCTTTGTGCACGACGTCGCTCTTCTGTACTCCACGATTCCGTAGGTATTAGAACCCCCGGAACTCCCACTGTCCAGAGCAGAGAACAGTGAGTGTGTGATACAGCTGGGGCTGGTCTGGGCTTCCCAGTGTCCAGGGGCTACAGGTCAGATACGGGTGAAGGTTAACAGAACGACAGCTCCCCATTTTCTTCAGAAGCCTTTGCTCACCAGTGTCCACACCTGTGTGGTTCCTGGAGCATGTACATTGCAGACGCTGGGGACACAGCAGCCGGGCCTCTGTCTCCGCCTGATGCCCAGGCCTGCGAGTCCCACCCAGTAATGACGGTGAGTGAAGAATGCATCCAGTTGTCTTGTTTGGGCAGCTCTCTGGATATGGGCTTTATCAGTGAAGGTGGGTGGACCATGATGCAGTGACCACCAACCCCAAATCCCCACGGACAAGAACAGAGGCTTACTTCTCACTGCCAGCACATGTCCTTGGCCAGCTGTGTTCCATGTTGTCTTTGCTCAGGGCCAGGCTGACGAAACACTGGAATATTATGGGTTTTCATGGCAGAGCGTAAAGAGAGCAGTGAAGTACATCTCTTTTCCTAAATCTGCAACACATGTCACTTTCTATGGCTAAAAAGAATCACCTGGCGAAGTTGTTCATAAATAGGTGAAGGAACTCTAATCCTTCCCTAAAGAGAGCCCCTGACTACAAGTGAAGAACAAGAGACCACTGCAGTCTCCATTACTGTGTAACTGTGGCAAGTTCCTGATTCCATGGGCCCAGAAGATGGTCTCCCGTGTCAGCCCATAAGAATCTGCATTTGTGGGCACTGGGCATCCTCCAAGCAGCAAATGCCTGCTACACCCTCTTTCCCAGGGTGGTGGGGCAATGCAACCAACATTTCCAAAGGAAGTGACAAGGACAACAGCTGGGTGGCTGGCATCTATTTCTCACAGCATGTGGGTTGGGCATCCGGATATGCAATATACACTCCTTTTGGCTGAGGCTGCACTTACGGACTTCCACGCAGGCCCCCCAGTGATTCTCAGCTGCCTGCGTCTGTCCCGATGGTAAAGAGGGCATGGCTGCAGGGAGCTGTATCTCGGAATTCCAACGTGCCTCGCTCTTTTTCAAGAGGAGAGTACCTGGCCTTGTGAATGCAACTGTGCTACTTAGGAGACCTCCTTTATGTGCTACATCAAACTGGGAAGATTGCAACATCCCTCCACACTGTTCTTCCTTTTCATCCACATGGCCCTCTCAGCTTCATGGGGCTGTCAACTGAAGGTTCCTTACTCTCTGCAGTGAAAAGAATAAAATAAAATAAAAAGAATAATAATAATAAAAGTGAAATCTTATGTCTTACAGTTTGTGGGAAGGCTAATGGCCTCCTCAGCAGCTTTTCCGGGAATATTATGGACTGTGGTCTCTTGTGCCTCATAGAGCTCGCTTGGGTCTCATCTCCACAGTTTTTTCTGCTTTTGCAGATCCAGAGAGAAAACTCAGGCCTATGTTCCCACTCTCTTACCCTCCCTTCCCAAAGTAGTAACAGCACCAAACATACTCCTCACACTGAGCATTTGGTGTAGCTCAGCCCTCTCCTCCTCCAAAACCTTTCTCAATGGATGGGCCTCCTCTCCGGGTTCTGGTTTCTCTCTCTTACCCTTAATTCAATCCTGTTCACCACATTATGCAGAGCTTTTTAACTCTCTTCTACTCTGCCCCAGGCTTACCTTTGCATAGTCAAAGACTCATTAATGTCTCAATAAAACAAAGGTTCGTTTATGCAATACAGAATCGTTGGCCGAGGTTTTGTAATTTCTTTCTCATTTCTTCTCTTACTCTGTACGTAGAAAAAACTGTATGGAAACTCATTTTCCTCCCACCGGAAGGCTGGAGTGGCAGGTCTGGGTTTTCCCTCTTCCTTTTAGGCGCTATGTCCTTTCTTGACATGTATTTTTGATAAACTTAGTTAACACAGTGGGTCTCAAACTTTTGGCCTCAAAACTCCTTTACACTATTAAAAATTATCGAAGGCCCTAACGATTAACTTTTGTTTATACAGATTTATATGGGTTTTATCAATTGGTATTTACCATGTTAGAAAACAAAATTTTAAATAGTCATTCCTTTAAAAACAAAAATGAATTCATTACATATTTACATATTAACATAAGTGTATCTTTTTGTGACAAAAATACACTTCCAGAACAAATTTAAAAACCTTGGTGAGAACGACAGCGTTTTACATTTTTGCAAACCTTGCTAAGTCTGGCTTAATAGGAGACAGCTGTTCTGCACTCATTGCTTTTGCAATATCCCAAGCCACACAGCCTCTGGAAAACTCAACTGTGTGCAATTCAGGAGTAAACGAGTGAAAAGTCAAATAACATCTTAGTATTATGAAAATAACTTCATCTTGCTGACCACTCTTTGACAACACTGTTTTAATACATATCTAGTTGTTCAACCTCTTTTAAAAAAGAAAACAAACTTGAAATCAATGAGATCATGAATTAAATCTGAACCTTGCGCCAAACTGGAGTCAGAACTCGTTGGCTAACAGTCAATTTAATGAACTGTGACTCTGTTTAAAAACTCCACATCAAGGGTGAACAGAAGCCAGGGACATCTCTACCCTTGTCTCCACCTTATAAATGCTTAGTCATCCTTCAAACCTGCCTTTCTCTAATAGTGATGCCTTCTTTATACAGCTCTTCACCTTAAATACAACAATGATAGTGATATTATTAACAACAGTAACTAATTTGTATTGATCACTAGGAGCCAGACAACGCCAAAATACACGTGTTAACTCTAATTCTCACAATAACACTCTGAGGAAGATTCTGGCTTCAGGTGATTCAAGGATGAAAAATGAAAGGCTTCATGCTTCTAGCTGTGCCAAGCACACCTGCCCTGCCTTAGAACTTATTGCACTCAAAAGGTCACCATCCCCGTGCTTCGGCCCAACACAAGGCGGGCCTTTGGAGTCAGAGGTCAGGCTGGGTCGCCTTTGGTCCCCGCAACCCACGCGGCGGGGCTCAGTCAGTGTGGAAGCCACCAGACGGGATGGAGCCTGTTGGCTTCCCGATCCTCTCGCTCCCGGAGTCCACACTCCCTAAACAGGCACCGGATCTCCCTGTGCCGTCGAGCGAGCCGGTTTTGCTGGTAGGAAAAAGGGGCGCCGATGAGTGCATCTCGGGAATCGGGGCGCGGCGGGAACCTGTCTCGCGCGCGGGCCGAGGCCGGAACCTTTCTTCTCGCGTCACCGTTGGCGGGCGGAGGCGTGCAGAACCGGAACGGTCCTCCGGCAGCCGGCTTCTCGCAGCCGTCGCCCGCTGCTGACGTGGGCCAGCCGGGTACGGGGCTGTAGGTGCGGGTCGTCATGGCGGTAGACATCACGCTGCTGTTCCGGGCCAGCGTCAAGACCGTGAAGACTCGGAACAAAGCGCTGGGAGTGGCGGTGGGCGGCGGGGTTGATGGCGGCCGCGACGACTTGTTCCGCCGGAGCCCCCGGCCCAAGGGCGACTTCTCCAGCCGGGCTCGCGAAGTGGTGAGCTGGTTGCTATGGAAACGGAGGGGTGGATGGAGGTGGGGGGCGGACCCCAGACGCACATCTCAGACCCCAAACGAGACATTGTCCTGTAAGCAGTGTGTGAAAAGCGCGTGGAGAACAGTGGTCTAAAGGGGGGACCGGAGAGTTGGTCCCAATGAGCCGACAGCTGCTTCGGGAAAGGAACAGCCTCATTTCGAAAAATGGGGACATATAGTGAGAGGCATTCTAGGAACCTAATTTCTCTTGGGGGAGGGTGTGCGGCCGGACAGACGCTCTGAACTCTCAGTTCGCAAAGTTCAGGGGCTGCTCTGTAAGATCGTGAGTTCGCTGTCACCGCCGACCTGAACGCGGGGAAAGTGTCTCCACAGCCGGTTGCTTTTCCGTCGCGGCGCCAACCACGGTGTTTTTGCCTGTAATGTTTAATTGTCTCGTGCCCCACCCCCTTCCCTTCCCCACCCCCCTCATTGGGGTCAAAGATCGTGTTCCGCAGACCTCTGCCTTTCCCGGGCCTCCTGCAGTAGATTAGGGTGCACGGTAGGGATCAGTACGTCTTGAGACTGACTTAGGGCAATCTTTCGCAGACGCAGTTACAACTGTAATTGTGTTACAGTTATCAAAATTCCTTTCTGTTCCCTGAGCACAGCGGGGTTTCGCTTAGGAGAGCAGGGTCCTTCTGCTTGAGGGCGGGGACGGGGTTGGCTTGGCCTCAGAATCGCCAGTGCGAGGCTCAGCGTTGCTTAGTACGTGGTGGTTGAATGAAAAAAGAAAATGAACAAATGGTGTCTGTCTTCCCCACTGCACTCTGTGCGGGAGAGATAATGTGCGCCTTGTTCGCTGTTGTGTCCTCCGCAGTGCGGGTGGTGGTGTTTCCGCCTAGCTTGGCGGTTAGACAGTTCTGTCTGTCCTCTAAGAAACAAAAACACAAACTCGCAGAAGTTCAGAGGTGCCGGTGAGGGGCTGTGAAGGTGAACTTCGTTAATTTCTTGGTAAATCCACTTCTGTTTGGCACACAGCCCAACACCTGGTACTTTGCAGACACTTAGATTTTTTTTAATGAATACATGTATGCATGAATTAATGAGTGGCAGTTTGCAGAGGCTAGTCAACCATCCGGGGAGGGAGATTGGCCAGATGAATCCATTCAACCTATCAGAAAGCGTCGATTAAGCACCTACTTTCTGACCAGCACTGTGTTAGAATAATAATTCAAAAGGTCTGGTGGGGGGAACAGACATTAACAAAACAAGTGCCATAAAGCCTTGTAGATGGTGTGCAGGGCACACAGGAAGTGTGTTCAGGTGCTCCTAAGTGCCAAGAACGGCTTTGTAGAGGTGATGGTTCCTGACCCTGACCCTGAAAGAGGTGTGGCTGGTTCCAGCACAGATGGGGTGGAGAGGGGTGTCTCCGCTAAGAGAAGAGTGTGCACAAAGGTGTGCAGATCGGTCACTTTTATGCTCGATTTGTGTGCTCGATGCATGTCTGCCCATTAAATTACAAACAAATTAGACAGTACATTGGACATTTCGAATTGTGGGGGAAGGAACTTATATCTGAACAACTCCAAATAGTAATAACTCTACTGCTTTGCAGTGAGAACTTGATTAGTTAACCATTTGGACTGTGGGACTAGTGGGGGCCTTGGGAGTGGAGAGAGAAGAGTAGGATTTGGATTTAGAAGACTTGCATTTGAATCTGGGTTCTGCCATTTAGAAGTGGGTGACTTGGGCAAGTCCTGTGACCTGAGTCTCATTTTCCCTTTCTATGAAATGGGCGTGATAATACCCTACCTAAATGATAAGCATATTATTAGGATCTTATGAAACTGTGTATGTATCATAGAGAACCATACTGGTTATTACTGTTCCGCTTCACCCCGCCCCAAACCCACATAGTTAGTTTAGACTGTTTTCATCATTGGTGCTAAGCTGTATTCCCTAAACCACTGAGCTTTCCTGTGCTTTCATTCCAAGCCAGTGCTGATTTCCCAGCAGACCCGGGAGGCTCAGAGTCCTTTGTGCAGTGTGCCCCAGGCAGCCGCTACCAGTTGTTGGGCCAGACATTGAAGTTGAAATCTGCTGGATGTCTTATCTGACATGTACAAGAAATAGAACCTTCTTCCTCAGCTTACCCCTGGGCTTTGTTCTTTCTGCACTTATAGATCTTAAGTTCATGTTGTGTAGGCATCTCATTTTACAGGTGGGCAAACATACCCAGGTAAGAGAAACGCCTTGCCCAGAGTCCTAATACCCAAGGTCATGGAACAGAGTCAGAGGTAGGAGGCAGGTGCTTTAATGCTGTTATGCCCCTCCCCCACCCACCCCCTTTAATTTCCACTGTAGTTCTAAACCAAGAATTCAGTTCTTTGGCTTTAGAATGGCAGTGAGTCTTCTCCTTAGGTTACTACTGGATTCATAACTGGAGACCTAAGGGTATTTAGAGCAGAAAGACCTGAATTGGAGTGCCTCTTACTGCTGTAGGAACTTGGGCAAGATACTTAACCTTAAATAGAGGAATAACAACCAGGTGAAGTTGTTATGCAGATGAGATGAGAAAAGGTATGCAGGTGCCTGCCCCAGTGTGAGTTTTGGTTGCCGGTGACAGTAATCGAATGTAAATTGACCTGAGCAGAACGGGATGCCTTGGCCCGCATAGCTGGGAAGCGCAGGGTGGAGCTACATTCTCTAGCTCTTACCCATAGAACCCCAGGAACGGACTCTAGGTGGTTCTCCTTGGATCCTGACCCCTTGTTTATGGCGCCAGAGGGATAACATTTCTCAAATGGCCCAGGTCATATGTCCCCTCTAGTAAGCAGGAGGGTTGGCTGCTGTGGTTGTTGGCCTCCCAGGACCTTGGAAAAAGGGTGCTGCTTCTGGGTGTGTGGGGCGAGAGATGTCAGGCGGGCAGAACCGACACAAACAGTCCTCACAGCGCCTGACCTGCCTGGTTGCTCTCACCTCTGTGGTGAATGAAAACCCGGACTGTGGGGGTGTGTAGGTGACAGGTTTGGGTGTGGGGACGTGGCTGCAGGTGCCTCATAGTGGCCGCCCTCCATTTTCTCACTGACTTTTCTCACTGCGGTCCGGGGGAGCGCCCCCTTGGAAACAAAGACCCCAGAAGCAGCCAACCTGTCCGGGGCAGCAGGGGCTGATGAAGAGCACAGGAGCCCTGTGTCGTAGCGCAAGGCCGGCCCCGAAGTGGGCAGGCCGCGTGACCTTCCTGGGCCCCAGCTTCCACACGCGCAAAACCGAGAGCTGAGACGAGATGACTGCCGGGACTCCTTGTTACACACACAGGGGTGTTCGGATTGCGTGTGAGACGATGGAGGCTGAGCCGTTGGAGGCTTTGTCTTCAGAGTAGGCGTGCAGGTGAGGCTCTCTTCATCACACCGTTGCGTTTGTGAAAGCTAAGTGTCATTTGTTTTTATTTTCTTAGGAATTGTGTATCTTGCGTTCCTGGCTGAAATCTAGAGTTCTTGTAGTGAGTAGAGCCAGATGACCCGGTCCCTGCTTCCCCCAGGACCCCCCTCCTCCCACTCTCCTCTGACTCTCCTGCCCCCTTGCCTCTTTGTCGTTCTCACGCCACCAGGCACAGGCCAGGTCCGTCTGCTACCCATTTTTAAGCAGAGGTTTACTGGAGTGCAGCCTGTTCGTTTGTTTACGTATGGGCTATGGATGCTCCTGTGCTGTGGTCGCCGGGTTGTAGCCTGCAAAGGCCTGCAGAACCAATCGTACGTACTCTCTGGCCCTTCGGGGAAGAAGTTTCCCAGCCCATAGGTGACAGCATTGTTGGCAGTGCTCTGAGGAGCTTGCAGCTTCTGCTCCGGGCTTTGCAAGCAGAGACAGGAAAGGACCGTGTTTGTGTTTTAAAATAATGGTCGGCCTTGAAGGTGAGTTTGCAATGTGCAAGGCTGACATAGAAGCGCTGATCAGGAGGCACTGAGTGGGAGGCTGCTACAGCCATTCAGGGGAAAGTCAATGAGCTGGTGACAGTAGGGTGGACAGGAGTGGGTGGATGAAGGAGATATTTGGGAGGAAGGCTCAACCATGTTATTCCTCTGTGGGGTTAGAAAGAGTAAGAGGTAGAACCATGCCCAGTGTTCTGGTGGCAAAGTTAAATGGTAACAAATGTCGAAGTAACATTTTTCTCAGAGTTAGAGTAGAATGCCCACCATTCCTGCTTTTTTCTTGTCCAGTTCTGAGCAGCAGAGAGTGGGTCCCAGGAGCCCAGCGGCCCCTGGGGTTTTCCTGAGACAGCACGAGGTGGCCACTTCCCCAGTGGCAGTGCTTCCTGTAGCCCTGGACTGGGGAGGCAGCTAGAGCCCAGTGGGGTTGCGCAGCTTGGCCACATTTCAATCTTGGAGGCAGTTGAGCCACAGATAAGCTGGCCAGGACAGTTGGCCCGTGGCCAGCACAGGTTCGAGCTGCGTGGGTCCACACGCACGCAGGTTTTTAAAAATAACTGGCCAGTCAGCCTTCCATGTGTCTGGTTTTGCACCCCAGGTTTCAATTCCAAAACAGTGTTTTCGTTTGGAGGTCAGGGGTCCTTGGACTCGGAGGGCCAGCTTCATGCACTGTTCTACACCATTTTATATTGGGGACGTGAGCACCTGCAGATTTTGGTATCTGTGAGGAGTCCTGGAATCAGTCCCTTGCAGATACCCAGGGGTGACTGTAGTTAAGTTTTGGGGGAGTCAAAAGTCACACACGGACTTTTGAGCACAGGGGGTTGGTGCCCCTCACCCCTGTGCTGTTCAGGGGTCCACCTCCCAAATCCAGCAAACAGGCGGGGCCTTCCCCCACATGGGCAGAAATGCAAGGCAGGTCAGCCTCGGTGACTCATCAGGGCCCTTCTCCACGCCAGGCTCTTCCCAGCGCTCCTCTGTCTTCCCAGTGCACTGGCTCTGTTGGAAGAAGCTCATCTTGGAGGTAGTGATTTCACCACGTACTGTAGAAGCACGGTTCTCTGGGACAGTCAGTTCATCTTCTTCGTGCCGAGAA